GTACCCCCACCCCAATCCCAGGCCCCCTTACCTGCTCCACAGGTCCATGACTCACTGGCTGGCCCAGCTTGGTGCTCACTGCAGACACACAGCACTCACACTTGGCCCACAGGCACACCACACTTGCAGGTCCCCCAAAATACCAGCATGGACCCTCAGCCTGCCTGACACCTCCAGTCTGGTCCCAAGGCCCCCTGCTCACCAACTGGTCCAGCCTGAAGATGGCCAGCAAATATAAGGACACCCCACCCCCACCATGCACAGCACATTTGCGGAAGATACAGACACTCACTCCCCTCCAGCAGCCGGCACCAGGCACATGGGCTGTGACCTGCAGTCCCGTTCCTGCCACCAACGCTGAGACCCTCACTCACCCTGGTCCCCCTAATAGCTGGCTTTGGGGACACACACCGTTTCTGCTCCAGGTGCTGGCAGTCGAGACACTCACCCACCCCAGTAGCTGGTACTGAGACCACACTTGCTCCAGTAACTGACATAGGCCAGGGGTGCCCACAACCCTGGTCTGACTGCAACAGCTGGCACCCAGTCCACTCACACCAGTCTCCCAGTAGCTGGCACTATAGATATAAAGTCTGTAGGAAACCAACAAGATAATTCAGAGAGCTACAGCCCCTCCAACTCCTGACACTGAGACCTCCAATTGCTCCCATTGCTGGCACTGCAGACCTGGTGGTGCCTACACCTCCAGAGAGACTTCAGTTGCTGGCCTAGTCTCCACTCAAGCTGGTCTCAGTCCCTGCAGCACTCACACACATGGGATAGAGAGTGAGATTACACAGAGGGAGAGTTAAGAAATATCTAATAAAATAGGACACGCTGCAGTGATCAGGCACAGGGCTTGGCCAGACGAGTGTAAAGACTGGCCACAGTCTACACATGACTGGCCCCTTCACATTGCCTCCTCCGCTGGCATAGTCCCACTGACCCCCTCCAACATCCTGGACCCTCAGGTTTGCAACCTTATCAGTCAGAAAGTCCTTGTTTGCATGCAGTTTCCTGATAGCCTGTCAGTTACTGCGACTGCCCAGGTTTGTTTCTTGCCTTTGTCTCCATTAAGTTTATCTGGCAGGTTTGTATCTCTGTATATTTTGCTTATGGCTTCCCCCTTTTCCTTATAATCCCATTTGACAAGGTCTTTGATCAAATAACCTCACTGAAATAAACATTCCCACATTCCACATACCCTCATCAATTAGAGACTGGCCAGGTTTAGTCCTTATTACTGCCTCCCTTACTTTTTGTTGGTCAGGTTTCCGCCTCAGAATGTTCCTATTTATTTCTCCTTTTCTTTCTTTAGAAGCGTTCTCCTGTGAAAGAAGCAAAGCGCAACTCAAATAGTGCTTTGGAGTAGAACTCCAAGGGACACAAAGTATCCCTATGAGCTCGTATATGCTTGCCCACTGAACACCAGATACATTTGAGTATTTTAAATGGGATACCATTTCCCTCTGCACTTCAGCAGACACTGTCAAGAATTAAGAAAATCAATATGTCACTAGTACTTGGGATGAAAATTCCACAAATAGAGATCAAGAAACACTAAGCATGACACTAACTGTTCCTATGGCTACAGCAAAATGCATAGGAAAAAAAAGTAGTTCAGAAGAAAACCCCTCTTGGTGCCCTGTGGGTGGGATTAGGGAGAAAATATTCTGTATTCCTAGAGACAAGAGAGTCCTTAGCAAGGCACATCATTCTGAAAGGAAGCCTACAACATTGCCTCCAACTTGCTTTTGAAGTTATATCACCATGTCGCAAGAAAAAAACCCTATTAACTCCACCTTAAAATGGAAACCAATCTACAACAACGAAGTCAGGCTGCCAGTATAAAATTTGCTGTAGGTTTACACATACTAAGTTTCTTAATAATTTTTGTGAATTAAAGAGCCCTTTTGACCTTTTGATAGTGAAACAGCAAAAATTTACACAGCATTTAGTAAAACGAACATAATCTGTAAAATAAGAGCAACACTACCAAACATGCTATGAAGAGGGTGAAAGTCCATCTAATTTTTTTGTGTTTCAAAGCTATGATGGTATATATCAATTAGACTGCTTCTGTATCTAACAACTGTACCAAGAACACTCATCAGTAATCTTTCTGGGCCATCCATAATTCACTCACAGTTAATAGAATTAATTCGTTATTTACTGATGGTGAGCACAATGGCCAATGTTGTCCTTCGGCAACCAGAACTGACAATGAATCCTCCATGCGAACCGTTTCTGCAAAAGATCGAGGCATGCAACAGCAAGTCCCATACCAATAGTATATAACATATTCCACCAAATGCATCTCTTAATTTTACTTATGATCAAAACACATTAATAATCTGAATATTTAATCTGTTGCTTGTTCGACATCAGGCTGATGACCATTTCCAGGGTTTTCTCTGTATCAGTCCCTTCTCTGAAATGCAATTCTTATTTAACTAAGTGTTTAGGATACACAAGAAACAATGTTAAGAGACCCCTAAGCCTAAACTGCTCAAGTTTCACACAGTAAATATTTTAAACAGTCTTTTGATTCTTGGCTGTCAATTTCTCATACCAAGTGCTGGAATATTTCTTTTCTGCATGTGAATTTATAATGCACAAGAACATTAAAAAAATGCAAAAAGCATCCTATTTAGCACACTGCAAAACTCTCAATAGCAAGAAAACAAGCTAATTGGTAGGACGACTCATTTGTTATTTATTAGTTAAGTTCCACTGCTCATACAAAAAGGACAGTGCAACCCATCACATCTGAAGCACCTCTTTTTCTAATACTGAAGCAGGTTTAAGAGTCAAGGAAACATATAGCCATCTCAAAGTTTTTCAAATTGTATTTTATTAGTATTTGCTATTGCTTGTAGTACTTGCTGCATGCAAATAAGAATCCTTTGAAATATGAAAAGATTTTACGATCAATTTTCAGAGAAATAAAGCAATTTCAATGCTGCTAAACTCACAAAAAAGACAGCAAGTATTTGTTTTTATATCACATCAAGGTGTTTCTTCCAAATAGGAATTGTTACCTCTCATAATCCAAAACACCACACAAATTTCAATAAAGGGAAAAAACTCAGCTATAGCTCCCTCTCTATTAAAGGGCAAAGATGTTGGAAAAATATTAGTGTTACTTTAAAATTCCAATTTATGGTCTCAATTTTGAACTCAACTTTGTCAATAGTGTAGGTAATAATAAATGGAAAACAATTTGTGCTGTTTCTGCAGATGTTTCCTGCAGTTAACACGCACTATGGTAGTAGGCAAAACCTGTTACATACATTTAGTATCTCACTAAATATCTGCAAGCTTTCTTTCTCAAAACTGGAAAGTTTAAAAGTTATGCAACAAATAGTACTAGTACCTGATAAGATTTTTTAAAATATTTTCAGTTTATCATTTCTGACCAGTTCATCTCCAAATTGCCTACCAAGATCTGAGTTAGAGAGTCATCAACACCACCTAACACAATACAGAAAGTGCCATTTCAGGAGATGGTGCTAACAGTTACTTCTTAGCATACACCGAGTCCTGAACTCCTATTGTGGTATATAAATAAAACAGAAGATAAGTTTTAAATTAAAATCACAAATTCTTAGCTACAGAAAGGGGGACAATTTCCCTATATACAAGGCTGAAACACATTAAACTTTTCATGTATATCATTAAAATATGCTCATTACTGTAAAGAGATTACTTTAAATGTCATAAAATATACCGAAATGAATATACTTAACAAGATGCCAGGGCAAGAGGAAAGTGGTGAAATCAAGACAAGGTGTTCAGATATAGCCACATTTCAAAAAGATCAAGTTTTCAATTTTAAAAATAATTCTGGTCTTTTAGCTGATAGGACAAGAAGTCTGAAGAGAAGTTTGGCTCAAAGTTTTCTTCATACCAAAGTCTTCTCTAAGTATAGTTTGAATGTACCGTATGTATTCACTATTGACTTTTTCATTTAGACATGTGAAACTAATATACACATACATCAACAGAGACAGGGTAATTAAGACAATTATAAACCAGATCACACTTCTTTCCACTTAAAGAATTTTTCCCCCCATTAAACTATATCTTTATATATGTACACAAGCATGCACACACATATATGAAACACAGTCTACATAAATGGACAAGCTAGCATTTCAGCACTGACGACCGAAACTTTGTATTCGGATAAATTAATGTTAAGCTGACCGTATTTGTTGACAAAGTGTTAAAGCATATCCAAACACTGAACTGAGGCATATTTCTATCTAAGCACCTGAAGTAGTATTTACAGAGGCATGAACCAATTTTTGACAGAAGAAAACATTTTAGCCAGCAATTAACATATATGATTTAAATTAATCCTCCCCAAACTTCAGCCCTCATAGAGGTAACATTTACAATAATATCAATGTTACTTACACTATTGTAACTGATGTCCTTACCACAATGGGCACAAAGGCAAGTCAGCACTAGAAACTTGTTCTTAGGAGAAGGACTACTGGCATAATACCTCGACACTTATTGTGGTAGAGCTTTCACTGGCTTTGCTTGTCATCACAACACTCAGCTGCATTAGCGAAAGATATATGCCTCTGCTCAGCACACCATACTGTTAAATTTTCTGTGTATAATGCAGTATTATGTGTTCTCAGAAACTGAGGAAAGTCAAGACCTAATTTCTTCAGGAATGTACCACAGTTTAGTCTCACATTCTTCCAGTCTCTCTGTATTGCTAAAAATTTGAAGCCTCAATAAATACACTTAATCCATTTTAGAAACTACACAATGAATCCACAAAACAACCTACCTACCTAATTTGTACAATGAAACTCATGTAAAAAAAAATAATGTTCTTCAATATACTGCAATATATGCACACTGGTATTAGTGCAAAAAAAAAAAAAGCTGTCATAAACCACTGTATTTAAAAACACAGGCCTGAAAATTCAAAAAGGGCCAAGGTATTAAATTCTAAGAACAAGTTCGCCAAGTTCTACCTTTTTCCATTTCCTTCTTCTCTGGGGGGATCCTACAGAACAAAGTAGAAACTATGTCCCAAATGGCACACAGTACAACTGCAACAGTTGTGGTATGTAACTGTCAAAGCATGTCTCCACCACCAAAGTGTCAGGGCTTCTCTCACCCTCTATTTCAGTTCTCTGTTTCTCCCATTTCTGACACTTACTTTGTTCCTTCCTTCTTCCAGGCCATTTCCCACAAAAAAGGAAATTTTCACAGCTGAAACAAAGGTTTACTTTGTCATTCATACAGTTTAGGACAAGTAAACTCTTTGTATCACCTACAAATGGCTGAACACAATGGTATGCTCACTGAGCATAATATTATGGTTGGCATCTTGTTAACGGATGTCTTGCTAAAATAGATTTATATACACTGCAGAACACTACGTGTTTATACGCTGCAGAACCATCCTTAATGATGGTACAAATCTAGGATTCCGTTTAAGTAGTTATCTACCTGGACTCTAGTGAGGCCTTTGACAAGGTCTCCCACTGCATTCTCGTGGAGAAACTGGCTGCTGATGGCTTGGACAGGCGTACTCTTCGCTGGGTAAAAAACTTGCTGGATGGCCAGGCCCAAAGAGTTGTAGCAAATGGAGTTAAATCCAGTTGGTGGCCAGTCATAAGTGGTGTTCCCCAGTGCTCACTACTGGGGCCAGTTCTGTTTAATATCTTTACCAACAATCTGGATGAGGGGATCGAGTGCACCCGCAGTCAGTTTGCGGAGAACACCAAGTTGGGAGGGAGTGTTGATCTGCTGGAGGGTAGGAAGGCTCTACAGAGGGATCTGGACAGGCTGAATTGATGGGCCGAGGCCAACTGTATGAGGTTCAACAAGGCTAAGTGCCGGGTCCTGCACTTGGGTCACAACAACCCCACACAACACTACAGGCTTGGGTAAAAGTGGCTGGAGAGCTGCCTGGCGGAAAAGGACCTGGGGATGTCGGTCAACAGCCAGCTGAATATGAGCCAGCAGTGTGCCCAGGTGGCCAAGAAGACCAATAGCATCCTGGCTTGTATCAGGAATAGTGTGGCCAGCAGGACTAGGGAAGTGATTGTCCCCCTGTACTTGGCACTGGTGAGGCTGCACCTTGAATACTGTGTTCAGTTTTGGGCCCCTCAGTACACAAAGGACATTGAGGTGGTGGAGCGTGTCCAAGGAAGAGCAAGAAGGCTGATGAAGGGTCTAGACCACAAGTCTTATGAGGAGCAGCAGAGGGAACTGGGGTTGTTTAGTCTGGAGAAAAGGAGGCTGAGGGGAGACCTTATCACTTTCCACAGCTACCTGAAAGGAGGTTGTAGTGAGGTGGGTGTCAGTCTCTTCTCCCAAGTAGCAAGTGACAGGATGAGAGGAAATGGCCTCAAGTTGCAGCAGGGGAGGTTTAGATTGGATATTAGGAAAAATTTCTTCACCGACAGGGTTGTCAGGCATTGGAACAGGCTGCCCAGGGAAGTGGTTGAGTCCCCATCCATGGAGATATTTAAAAGATGTGCAGACACGGCGCTTAGGGACATGGTTTGGTAACGAACTTGGTAGTGTGAGGTTTATGGTTGGACTCAATGATCTTAAGGGTCTTTTCCAACCTAAATGATTCTATGATTCTTTTTAAAGCTCATATTTAGGCTATGCACTACATATTACAGAGTACTTGTTTTAAACCTACACAGGCCATTTCATTTTTACTAACACCTTGTTTAAGTTAGAGTTGTTTTAAAAAGCATTGGAAAAAAAAAAATGTTGTTTTCCATTAGTTAGGATTATGAACACGCCTTTTGCCCTCAGTAGCTTGCAGAATTTCATTTTTGCATGCGTCAGATTCACCACAGGCCCTGTGAACATATTAACTGGTGCAACGGCGGCTGGTTCCTCTGCGCCTACAAAATACACATATTGGGAGGTGTCATCTAACAGAAGTCATCTAGGCCTGTATATAATCCTTATAATGGGATGTAATGGGTCAAGAACTCGGTCATCTTCATGTAACTGACAAATTACGGGAGCCAGCAAAACTACGAAACAATTGACATTTTCTGCGAACTTAACCTGGAAGAGGAATATAAGTAAACATTGCAGGTCCTCAGCTTCAAGAAACAGCTTATACTTGTGTAGATCTTTTAATTTACTTTAGATAATAGGATTATTCTCATGCAAAGTCAGAATATGTTTTGCTAAAAAAACCAAAACAAACCACATGATACATGTAAGATGATATGTGAAGGAAAAAAAAACCTCACTCCCCCAAATGCACTCAAATAAGCATGATTTGCTGACTTCTCAAACCTCACCCCACATTTTTATTAAGGAGAAAAAAGACACGAGAATTTAAAGCATGCAAGAAATTCAGTGAGATGTATAATTTTTTTTATACCGTCTCAAGCTCCGCCCTACACTGAACAAACCATCACAGCTATGAACCGTTCAAGTCACATTTCAACTATAGATATATGTAAACATCCACATAGTAAAAGCAGAGCCAGAGAATACAAACACTATACTAGGTCTCTGTATTTGAATTTGAGGAAGAGTGCTCTGGCTGTTCTCCAATACAATAAGGAAACTGAGAATAAAGACAAAGCAAGCTTCACATATGATCTCTAACCTGTCTTCAGTAGAGATTCATATACAAAATGACCACATGCATATTGGTCTTACCAGGCTCTTTGTGTTCATATCTGAACATTTTTCTCAAATCCATACTCATCCACTTGGAACTTCTTCACCAGTTTCTTCCACAACATTATTCAAAATGAATACCTATTCCTACTCTTTTATGTCTCCAATCACTTCATTTCCCCTCGTTTTATATTCAGTTCCAATGTTTTCCCAACAGACTTACACACAGAGGACACCAAAACAAAAATGCCCTCCCTCAGTACTTACCATCAAAATAGTTTTCAATGTTTTTGCAAGAGATTGTTTTCTAAGAACCTGATATTGAAAATGCAGCTCATGAAAAATATTCAGCACATCACAGCTTTTTTAAAGAACAGTCCCAACACAGATCATCTAAGGAAATAACCTGAATAAGGAAAAGTTCTTGATTTTTATTTGTCTAGAGTGACCATCTCCTAAGCTTTTATGAAGACTGCCAGACAGAGCACCTGCTCAGCAGCACTGTAAGCTGTGCCATGAATGCTCTCATCCCTGCTCACACGATGTTTTACTCCTACTGCAATGTGAAAGAAAAATTTGGCCAGTTCTCTCAGAAACAAACAGAGCTGGCAAAGACAGACCACAAGGCTAAGATACGAGGCTCTGAAGAAAAGACAGTGTTGAGTTCGTGCAGTTGCTGAGTTTGCCTAGGACAGAGGTGTTCACAGATTTCAGGGATAGGAACAAAATTGCAAGACTGACAGGATGAAAGGGCTTCATAAACAGAAAGCAAGCAAAATACAGCATATGTAGTGGTGCTCACATGAAGCACCGCACCTTTTCATAGTATCTGAGGTTGTAGTGGGAAATACAAAAAGCAATGTTATTGCAAGTGAACCAGGAGGTAAAAAGTTCTAGGACAGCAAATCTGAAACGTGCTCACTGAGAACCAGGAACTGTGGACATGAAAGAGAGAAAGCCTCTGTTTTTCTTAGAAAGGAACACCAAAGGCACCAGTCTTTTAACAGCTGAAACACCTACAGAAGACACTAGTGAGGCAAATTTATGTTGCTGAACTATTTTTCTACCAGGTGAGGAACAGTTCCACTGCAATCCAGAAAAACTAGTTGGACAGCAATCAGCAAAATGCTTAAGGTGCAAAAGGGCTCCCTTTCTTTCTTTTCCCTTCCCACTGTTTTTAAAGAGCTGCTGCTATTAGCATTTTACTGCCGTTAAAAGACAAAAAAGCCCTAGCTTTCAATGTTCTGACAAACAGAAATCAGTAGAGGGCACCAAAAAGCAAAGCAAATTTCTTTGATCTTCCAAGAGCTTAGTAACAGAGGAACCTACCCACTCCCAAGTGAAGCTAAAGAGTGAAAACCATGAAAATCATCCTGTTAAATCAGAGACCTAGACAGGCTTTGCCCACGACAGACTTTAAATATGCTGTATTAGATTATTTAACTTGATATAAACGCTTACATAGAGAAGGAAACCACAAGCTGTATTTCTGCAGAACTGGTTAAGTCAAACCTGTATCTTTCAGGAAGTTTCAAGAATCAGTCCTCCAAAGTCAAAACAACTCTCAGACTAAAAATAAGAAAAAAGACATTTCACATCCTACCTGTACCCTTATTCCTACCTTTCAAATCCCTCTGGGGTGCGCGTGTGCGTTGTCTACATACAAAGATTAAATGAGAAAACCTTTAGAAGTCCAAGACTTTCTCTGTACAAATTGCCATTAGATTCACTAGCAATTTAGCCCATGTAGCTTCCATGGACAAACATCTACAACAGAAATGTAACAAGACTACAATTTAAGTTTCAACACTCAATAGTAGCCCTAATGAAGTAACTTATCTTCCTAACTGCACTATTTTTTATACTGTAATAAAAGCTTGCATAGAAACCATTTAATTCTTAAGGACTTTCTTAGTAAAGAGCTGAAAAACTAACTTGACTTCATCAACAATATCACTTTAAATCATATAAATTATCTCCTGTTACAATGTCAAAAAACCGTATTGAAAAAATCTAAATAAGCTGATGCATAAACTTCAGAAATCACAATAGCACTGATGCCGCTGATGTTAGCTTCCGAGCCAAAACCATATCTTTCAGAAAAAGAAAAGACTCCCACACCACTGCAGGTCAAAGCAATGACTGATCAACTTCCAACTTCAATTTAGTATTTACTATACTCTTATTAAAAAAATCAAAGTGAACCAGATGTCAATCAAATAAGGTTTAACCTGCTCTGTAGGTCAGAGAGATGACAAAGTAAGTTTCACATAGGAGAATCTTGAGATGTCTAATTTATGGGCCCCTTTTATTTACATACCACTTCTTGTCTCACTATTACCACTCTTAACATGTACTATCTCCTGGTAACAATTCCCTGGTAACCTTCACATTGTTATTCTGTATATGCGTAGGTTTTTTTTTTTGCTCTCCTGTCTCATACTTAATCCTCTTATGACTGCA